AATGAAATTCAAAATCATAAGAAAGACCAGACTTACAGGTTTTATAGGGCCTGGCAAAACCCCCAAGAACATGGCCTCTAGTTAGCCTTTAAGCCTGGAATTGAAGTCACTCCCGTGGCTTCCAGACAAACAACAGACAGGCATAGAAGGTGAATATTTACACCAGGTAGATACACTCCTTATAATGATACATCATGGGAGAACAGAAGAGCAGTATTTACGAGGCAGAAATACATAGGAAAGAAGGACATAAAGAAGAGATAAGTAATTACAGGGAGGAAGTGGGAAGAGAGCTGTTACACTATGGGAACTATAGTTAACATCATGAAACAAAATGTTTATGAACTGCTATATGGAATTTTCTCTGTGAACTTTCACCGAAATCACAATAAAAATTTTTAAAAAGTGGAAAGCAAGCCAGTTTCTGGATACCACTATTGACCATTCTATTCAGAGCCACAGTAGACAGATCTTGACAGAGTGGGATAAAAATGTGGAACAGAGTTTAAATTCTTAAAAAGTCTAGACTTACTGGACTGGTTAAGACTAGAGGATCTCCCAAGGCAACAGTCCTGAAATACTCTTTAAAACTTGAACCAAAACTATTCCTTGAGGTTACCTTTTAGCTAAATAACAGATTGGCTCATAAAATAAAGAATATCAAGTGTGAACACTGTACTACTTTAAAAAAACATCTGTATGAGACCAAATGTCAACAATTACTCCAAAACAAAGATGAGAAGGTAAGGGGGCAGGGAAACTAGGTCACCAGAAATAGAACAACCAGAACACAGATAATGAGAATGCTTTGCTATTCACAATAGCATTGCAAAAAAATGTAATCAGTATCACTGAACAATTTGTTTAGAAATTATTATTAAATGGTGTGGTACAATAGATCACTTTTATACGGCCTTTCTCATTATGGTCTTAGAACTCTCACCAAATGACTAGTTTGCTGGCTGTTGTTAGGTGTTGTCAAGTTGGTTCCAATTCATAGCAATTCTACACACAAGAGAACAAAACAATGCCCATTCTCACACTGCACCATCTTCACAGTTGTTGCATGTTTCAGCCCACTGTTGCACCTACTGTGTCAATTCATCTCATTGAGGGGCTTCCTCTATTTTACTGACCCTCTGCTTTACCAAGCATGATGTTCTTCTCCATGGACTGCTCCCTCCTGATAACATAGCTAACGTGAGATGAAGTCTTGCCTTCCTCGCTTCTAAAGTGCATTCTGGTTGTACTTCTAAAACAGATTTGCTCGTTCTTCTGAATGGGTAGGACTATGCAAATAAGATGCTAGTGGCCCATGAAGGGGATCAGAGAGCTTGCTAAGAATGCAAGCAAGGTGCATGGCACCCTTGTGGAAGAGGATCATGCAAGTAAGATATATGGCACCCTAACGAAGAGATTGATCAGTTTTTCCATCCCATTAGGCTTAAAATGAACCATGTCAGAGATGGAAAGGGGAGACCTCACTACCCCCAAGAAGAAGAGACAGGAACAGTGCATATCCTTTAGACCTGGGGTCCCTGAACTAAGAACCTGCTAGATCCAGGAGACAAAGAGAGAGCTGTAACTCCAGAGACAGCACAAAATAGCAAGAAGCAGTGGCAGGAGACTAGCGTGAGACAGCTCAGCGGGCTTCCTGACCCACAGAGCAAGGTGGTTACAGTGGGTGTGTTAACCACAGAGCGAGAAACCTGACAGCCTTCAGGTAGGAGACTTCCTGGTAGATGGGGTGCTTCCATTGATAGAGCTAGGCTTGCCAACCCATGGAGCCAGAGAGCTGAGAGTCTTCAGGCAAGAGGCTTCCTGGTGCAGCAAAGTACCTCCTGGCACTTAATGATGGAGCTAAAGAGCTTTGTTACACTTGCCTGAGCAGGGCAATAGCCGAGCTGAAGGGCTAAGGGGCCGAGAGGCCACAGTGAGGCCTGCCTACAATCATGACTGAGAAGAGGCCGTGTTGATCAAAGAACTATATCCTGAGTCATTCCAGATCCTGAATTGTAACCTGTTACTTCTCTAATAATCCTCATAACTATAAGTATAGTATGTGAATTCTGTGTGGCCACTGCAACAATCTATCAAACCCAACAGAGAAGTAGAGAGTGCCAAGGGAGGGATGGCTAGTGTCAGAAGTGGTAAAGTTTGGAGAGTGGAGGTATGTTCGACCTCCACCTGATGGGAATCAGCCTTGGGCTGCTGTTGATGATGATTCTCTTTCCCCTTCATGAAGGTGGTCAGCCACCTCCACCATGTCATTTTTGCAAATAGGAACCTAATTTCCTGTGTAAATTTTCAACAAAAGCATATTACAATAGTATTTATATACATATCTATCTATCTATCTATCTATACAGATATCTATCTATCTATCTATATATGGATATCTATCTATCTATATATGCTATATAAAATATAATATACCTGTGGGTGGTGGTGTAGTGGTTAAGGCATTTGACTGCTGACCAAAAGGTCAGTGGTTCGAACCCACCACTGCTCTGCATAAGAAAGATGAGGTAGTCTGCTTCTGTAAAAATGTACAGCCTTGGAAACCCAATGGGGGTCACTATGAACCAGAATTGACTCAATGGCAGTGAGTTTGGTTTGAAGCTTTTCAGTTTATGGGTTTTTAAGGCTATGAAAACTTAGATATATGTACTATTCCAAGAAACACTCACTTGAAAGCACCTAAGCTATTTTAGGATTAAGAAGTGCAGAGTTACATTTGACTAATAAAGTGGATTCAGGGAACCGGACTTACGTGGAACTCGGTTGTGTTAAGGATGTGGCGACCATCCGGGCTCCAACATGAAGCCACCAGCCCTGCCGAGCCCTCATCTATCTTGCAGTGCCAATCTGGCTGTTCCAAAGACCAGACCTACATTCACAAAAGAAAACCACAGGATCACAAACTTATCAGAACACCAGGGCAACACCCCTTCAAGAGAAAGCACACAGCTTTAAAGACTGAATGAGCACCAAGTGCATACAGTCAAAGCACAGGGTATTTTTAGAAATCTTTTGCTATGAAGGACTGGGGCTAGGTTCTACCACAAAAGCACACTGATTTGGTGATTTCATTTGGTTGTTACTGTTCTTGAAACTGCTTACTCTCTTTGCTATTGTTAAGATCTCATTTAGCTAAACTTCAGGTCTGTAACAAAATTCTTTATCTTAGTATTTCCTGAAACACATGTCTGAGCTGTCTGTAAGTATTTCCTGTTACTGAGTTATATTCACTGACAAAGAGTACTGTATTTTCCTTATTGAAAAGGTACTTAGTTAAACTATAAGAGAGCTATTAAATTTTAAAAGAAACTGGCTTGAACTACACTGCCTTTTTAAGAAAAAAAAAAAACAACTCAAAGGGCATAGTACAAAGCCATTTCCTCCCAGTGACATTCTTGGGAGGGTTTCATCATTCTTACCACAGGCAGCACTGACCTGAACAAGCCCTCGTTTGTACATGGCGCAAAGGATAAAGAGCGAGTCAGCCGACCACTCTATGTGCTGGATCTGATCCAGGCATGTGTACAGCTGAAGGATCTGAAGTGTGTTCACATCTCGGACCACTAGACGGTACTGGACACATGAAGCCTAAAAATGAAAATACAGCACTTGTTGTTCTATATTCTAAAATGAGCTTTCAAGATGTAAAAACTCTGTGTGCAGTAATTGTTTCCTTCCCAACTTTCAGACATGCTTTCTATATAGAGAATTTTAGGTTTATTAATTATGTAACCCATTCTGAAAATAAGATGAATTAGTAGAGAAACATACACACTGAGTTTTAAAATGTTGTTACACTCTAAGATAAAAATAGAAGATTCTTTTTAAGCTCTCTAATCTTCTGGAGTCCCTGGGCAGTGCAAACAGTTAATGTGCTCAGCTGCTAACCAAAAGGTCCATGGTGCAAACTTACCAGCTACTCAATGGGAGAAAGATGGGACAGTCTGCTTCCATAAAGATTTACAGCCTTGGAAACCTTATGGGGCAGTTCTACTTTGTCCCACAGGGTCATTATGAGTAGGAATCAACTTGATAGCAGTGGGTTGGTTTGTTTTATCTGTTAATAGTGTCCATACTAAGCAAATAACTTCTATGTCTGTATAAACCTATCTGCTGATTATAGGTTATACCAGTTAAAAATTGTTTTAAAAACTGATTTTTAAATGTTTACTGCTTCATTTTTGTACTTATCATGGTTAAGTGATATCATCAGTGGTTTCTGTTTTCTGAATTTCCATTTTTAAAAAGTCACACTAGTTTTCCATAGGAAAAGGAGAGGCCAATTACAGACTGGAACAATAGGTATCACAAAGTTATTTTTGCATACTGCAGCTCTGAAAACTGTTGTCCAAAACCAAACCAAACCCACTGACGTTGAGTTGATTCCAACTCATAGCAACTCTATAGGACAGAGCAGAACTAATTGCCCCATAGGGTTTCCAAGGTTGTTCATTTTTATGGAAGCAGACTGCCTCATTTGTCTTCTGCAGAGCAGTTGGTAAGTTCAAACTGCTGACCCTTTGGTTAGTAGCTCAATGCTTTAACCACAGTACCACCAGAGCTCCTAAAACACATAACCTTTCTTGTTACAACTTACTGGAATTTTCAGAAATAGTTTAAAAAAACAAAACAACTAATTTATAGGTGGGCATTTTGGAAAAATATACCCAAGTTTCTGAGGTGTCATTTAAGCTGCTGACATTTTCTATTTTGTAGCTGAATGCTATTTTATTTAATTTACAACACTTTATAAAGAAGGTAAAAATGTAACTTAAGAGTTATATTCCCAAAGACCTAGACAAGGACAGCAAGAGTATTAATCAAGGCTCAAACCAAAAGAGTCATGAAGCACTATCCGTTAACAGAGAATGGTGTAAACAAAACTAAGTACACAGTCTAAAAGCCGTTTTTTTTTCTTAATGTTTTTCAATGTCAATTGCAGCCCCTCTCTAAGGACTCTGAGGGTATAAAACCAGTCATAATGGAATATTCCGAAGCTTAAGTTTTGTATTCAAAATAGCTGTGTGATTTAAGCACCAATCTGCCACCCACGGAATGAACAGCTGACACCAGTTTTTTAATCTAGGGATAGACAGCTTTTGTTGTTGTTAGGTGCCTTTTAGTGCGTTTTTGACTCTCAGGGACCCCATGCTACAGAGCAAATAACTAGGGTTTTCTAGGCTGTAATCTTTAGTGGAGTAGATCTCCAGGTCTTTCTCCCGTGGAGTCGCTGGATGTGTTAGAACTGCCGATCTCTGGGTTTGTAGTCCGGCGTTTAACCAGAGCTCCTAGGATAGAAGGCCAGTAGTTTAAATCACTTAACCCCACACCTGGGGGAAAAGGGGTGAGGAGAACTGGAGAAGACAACAGAAAGCAGCTGCACCACATAACCAGCTTAAAAGCTAACAGAATTACAGATCTGACCACCCAACAACAGTGTGTCGTTGTCCCACACGCCACACCGGCGCCACCTTGCTTAAGTCTCGCAAAGTCCCGGTGGAGGCACGCATTGCTTCCGTTCAAAAAGCGGTCCATGGCGCAGCGAGGCTGGGAACCGTTTGGGTCTCGTAGCTAGTGGGCGTCGAGCCCGATTTGCATCAGACCCCAGAGCCTGCCTCCATTCGAGGCGAAGGCGCCGTCCCGGCGGGTTACAGCAGCTTAGAGGGGCGGCCGCCATCGCCCCATCACTACTTAGCCCCATTTCGGCGTTGCGCCGAGCGGGTATGCTGGGAACCGGATCCTGGCTCTCACCAGGTACTTCCCGTCCGGGGAGAACTTGCTGAGCAGGCTGGACAGCTTGAAGACCTCGGAGAAGTTCATGGCAGCCGGTGTTTGGAGGGCCCGGGTCCCTCCTGAGCAGCCCCTGGCGAAGAGGCCGGCTCCTCTGGAGAGTGGCCGGCGGGCCGAGGCTGTGTCCGGGCCGGACCCGCGCCTGCGAGCCCGCCGGCCCGCCTCGGTCCCAGTCTGGTCCTCCTAGTCGTCCCTCCGCCAGCCAGTCCACCCTGGCCGCCGCAGTCCCCAACCGCCGCCCGCCGGACCCCAGAGCCGGAAACCCGGGGAAGGCGGGAAGCTAGTGCAGCCTATCAGGACCCAGGGTGGCCGCAGGGTATTGTGGGGCTTATAGTTCACTTCAGCCCCATTCCTCTATGCTTTAAAAGAGCCCGCATTTCTCCCCACCGAGGATTTCTGAGCCATACCCAAGGAATAGAAGGCCTCGGAGATCCCCTCCAGCTGGGGTTGCCAGATAAAATGCAGGACACCCAGTTACATTTGAATTTCAGATAAGCAAATAATAATTTGTGCGTATAAGTATGACCGTTCCTACTACCAT